TATGGGGGGTCCATAGGGGGCTGTGGGGGTCCATAGGGGTCAATAAGGGCCTATGGGGGGTCCATGGGGGGCTATGGGGGTCCATAGGGGTCCATGGGGGGTCCACAAAGGGCTTTGGGGTATCCATAGGCGCCTATGGGGGGTTTATAGGGGTCTATAGGGGGGCTATGGGGGGCCTATAGGGGTCTATGGGGGGTCCATAGGGGTTATGGGGGGTCCATAGGGGGTTATAGGAGGCTTTGGGGGTCCATAGGGGTCTGTAGGGGGCTATGGGGGGTCCATGGGGGGCTGTGGGGGTTCCATAGGGGTCCATGGGGGGTCCACAGAGGGCTTTGGGGTATCCATAGGGGCCTATGGGGGGTGTATAGGGGTCCATGGGGGGCCCACAGGGGGCTGTGGGGGGTCCCGGCAGCCCCTGAGCCCCATTCCCCCCCCGTCCCTAGGGCGATGTCGTCCCACCTGCAGTGGATGGTGCTGCGGAACTGCTCCAGCTTCCTCATCAAGCGGAACAACCAGACCTATAGCACGGTCAGTGCCCCCCCCAGCCTTGGGGACCCCCTGAACCCCATTGGGGACCCCCTCAACCCCATTGGGGATCCCCTGAACCCCATTGGGGAATCCCACAACCCCATTGGGGATCCCCTGAACCCCTTCGGGGACCCCTCAACCCTATTGGGGATCCCCCTAAACCTTTTGAGACCCCCTAAATCCTATTGGGGTCCCCCCTAAACCCCTTTGGGACCCTCTAAATCCCATTGAGGAACCCCCCCTAAACCCCATTGGGGACCCCCTAAACCCTTTGGAATGCCCTAAACCCCATTGGGGACCCCCCTAAACCCTTTGGGATGCCCTAAACCCCATTGGGGACCCCCTAAACCCTTTGGGATGCCCTAAACCCCATTGGGGACCCCCTAAATCCTTTGGGATGCCCTAAACCCCATTGGGGACCCGCTAAACCCTTTGGGATCCCCTAAACCCCATTGGGGACCCCCGTAAACCCTTTGGGATGCCCTAAACCCCATTGGGGACCCCCGTAAACCCTTTGGGATGCCCTAAACCCCACTGGGGACCCGCTAAACCCTTTGGGATCCCCTAAACCCCTTTGGGACCCTCTAAACCCTTTGGGACCCCCTAAAACCTTTTGAGATCCCCTAAATCCCATTGGGGATCCCCCTTAAACCCTTTGGGATCCCCCTAAACCCTGTTGGGGACCCCTTTAAAGTGTTTGAGACCCCCCCAAACACTTTGGGAACCCCTCAAATCCCATTGGAGACCCCCCTAAACCCCTTGGGGACCCCCCCCAAACCCCATTGAGGACCCCCTTAAATCCTTCGGGGACCCCCAAACCCCTTTGGGGATCTCCCTAAACCATTTGGGGATCCCTTAAACCCCTTTGGGACCCCCCTAAAATCCGTTGGGGACCCCTCCTAAACCCTTTGGGCCCCCCTAAATCCCATTGGGGACCCCCCTAAACCCTTTGGGACCCCCCCCAAACCGTATTTGGGACCTCCCCCAAATCCTTTGGGATCCCCTAAACCCCGTTGGGGACCCCCTTAAACCCATTGGGGAGCCCCTAACCCTTTGGGACCCCCCCACACCCCATTGAGGACCCCCTTAAATCCATTGGGGAGCTCCCTAAACCCCTTGGGACCCCCTCCTAAACACCTAGGGACCCCAAATCGAGTTGAGGACCCCTTAAATCCTTTGGGGATCCCCAAACCCCTTTGGGGACCTCCCTAAACCCTATGGGGACCCCCCTAAACCCTTTGGCATCCCCTGAACGCCTTTGGGACCCCGCTCTAAACCCCATTGGGGACCCCCCCCCACCCTTTGGGATCCCCCTAAACTTCATTGGGGACCCCTTTAAACCGTTTGAGACTTCCCAAACTCTTTGGGAAACCCCTAAACCCTTTGGGACACCCTGAAACCCGATTGGGGACCCCCCTAAACCCTTTGGGACCCCCCCAGACCCCATTGGGAACCTCCCCTAAACCCTATGGAACCCCCCCCATAACTATGGGGACCCCCCCAAACCCCATTGGGAACCCCCCCTAAACCCTATGGGAACCCCCCCATAACTCTATGGGGACCCCATAACTCTATGGGGACCCCCCCAAACCCCATTGGGAACCTCCCCTAAACCCTATGGGAACCCCCCCATAACTCTGTGGGAACCCCCCCTAAACCCTATGGGAACCCCCCATAACTATGGGGACCCCCCCAAACCCCATTGGGAACCCCCCCTAAACCCTATGGGAACCCCCCTAAACCCTTTGGGACCCCCTCAAGCCCCATTGGGAACCCCCCCTAAACCCTATGGGAACCCCCCTAAACCCTTTTGGGACCCCCTCAAACCCCATTGGGGACCCCCATTGAGAACCCTTTGGGGGCACCCCCCCCTCCTCCCCGCAGGAACCCAACAACCTCAAGTCCCGCAATTCCTTCCGCTACAATGGCCTGATCCATCGCAAGACCGTGGGGGTGGAGCCGGCCCCCGACGGCAAAGGCATCGTCGTGGTGCTGAAGAAACGCACTGGTGGGTGCCCCCCCTTCCCCCCCCTTTAAACCCCTTTAAACCCCCCCTTTAATGTCCTTTTTCCTGCCCCCCCCAACCAGGGCAACGTAAACCGGCCTCGTCCTACAACCGGGTCACGATCCGTAGGGATGCTCGGGCCACCCTGCGCAGCCTCCGGAACATCATCCGCAAGAACAAGTACCGCCGGGACCTGCGCATGGTCAGGGGGGGGCCTGGAACGGGGGGGGGGGGGGGGGGGGGGGGGGGGGGGAGGTGTGTGTATGTTAGGACCCATCGGAGCCCATAGGGGGCGGACAGGGGTGGGCTTTAGGACCCAGTGGAGCCCATATCCGGGGTGGGGGGTGGGCTTTAGGGCGCAGTGGAGCCCATAGGGGGCGGACAGGGGTGGGCTTTAGGACCCAGCGGAGCCCATATCCGGGGTGGGGGGTGGGCTTTAGGACCCAGTGGAGCCCATAGGCGGCAGCCGGGGGTGGGCTTTAGGACCTAGCGGAGCCCGTAGGAGGCAGCCAAGGGTGGGCTTTAGGACCCAGCGGAGCCCATAGGGGGTGGGCTTTAGGACCCATTGGAGCCCATGGGAGGCGGCTGGGGTGGGCTTTAGGACCCAGCGAAGCCCATTGGTGTCATGCAAGGGTGGGCTGTAGCACCCAGCAGAACCCATAGGGGTGGGCTTTAGGACCCAGTGGAGCCCATAGGAGGCAGCCAAGGGTGGGCTTTAGGACCCAGTGGAGCCCATAGGGGGTGGGCTTTAGGACCCATTGGAACCCATGGGCGGTGGCTGGGGTGGGCTTTAGGACCCAGCGGAGCCCATTGGTGTCATGCAAGGGTGGGCTTTAGGACCCAGCAGAACCCATAGGGGTGGGCTTTAGGACCCAGTGGAGCCCATAGGGGATGGGCTTTAGGACCCATTGGAGCCCATGGGAGGCGGCTGGGGTGGGCTTTAGGACCCAGCGAAGCCCATTGGTGTCATGCAAGGGTAGGCTTCAGGACCCAGCAGAACCCATAGGGGTGGGCTTTAGGACCCAATGGAGCCCATAGGCGGCAGCTAAGGGTGGGCTTTAGGACCCGGCGGAGCCCATAGGCGGCAGCTAAGGGTGGGCTTTAGGACCCGGCGGAGCCCATAGGGGGTGGCCAGGGGAGGGCTTTAGGACCCAGCAGAGCCTATTGGTGTCATGCAAGGGTGGGCTTTAGGACCCAGCGGAGCTCATAGGAGGCTTTAGGGCCTATCAGTGAAGGTGTCTGGGGGGGGCTCATTGTGGCCCTAAGGGGGGGGGTATGACCATGGCAGGGTCCCCTAAAAGCCGGGGGGGTCATTAAATGCAGATGGGGGGCTTTAGGACCCAGTGGAGCCCATAGGCAGCAGCCAAGGGTGGGCTTTAGGCCCCATTGGAGCCCATAGGAGGTGGCCAGGGGTGGGCTTTAGGCCCCAGTGGAGCCCATAGGGGGTGGGCTTTAGGACCCAGTGGAGCCCATAGGGGGTGGGCTTTAGGACCCAGTGGAGCCCATAGGAGGTGGCCAGGGGAGGGCTTTAGGACCCAGCAGAACCCATAGGGGGTGGGCTTTAGGACCCAGTGGAGCCCATTGGTGTCATCCAAGGGTGGGCTTTAGGACCCAGTGGAGCCCATAGGAAACTTTAGGCCCCATCAATAAGGGTGTTTGGGGGGGGTTCATTATGGCCCTAAGGGGGGGTATGACCATGGTGGGGTCCCCAAAAGTCGGGGGGGGGGGTCATTGAATGCAATGGGGTGTGCTTCAGACCCTAGTGGTATCCCCACACTTATGGGGGGGTCATTAAATGCATGGGAATGGGCTTTAGGACCCATTGGAGCCCATAGGAGGCAGCCACGGGTGGGCTTTAGGACCCAGCGGAGCCCAGCCCCATCCATGGGGGTGTTTGGGGTGGCTCATTATGGCTGTAAGGGGGGGGGGGTATGGCCATGGGGGGGGTCATTAAATGCAATGGGGGGGCTCTAGGACCCCTGTTTTGGGGGTATCCCCCTATTTTGGGTCTATTTCCCCCCATTTTGGGGCTATTTCCCCTAATTTTGGGGCTATTTCCTCCTATTTTGGGGGTATCCCCCCTATTTTGGGTGTATTTCCCTGCATTTTGTGGCTATTTCCCTCTATTTTGGGTGTGTTTCCCCCCATTTTGGGTCTATTCCCCCCTTTTTTAGGTCTATTCCCCCCTATTTTGGGTCTATTTCCCCCTATTTTAGGTCTATTCCCCCCATTTTGGGTCTATCCCCCATTTTGGGTCTATTTCCCCCTATTTTGGGTCTATTCCCCCCTATTTTAGGTCAATTCCCCCCTATTTGGGGTCTATTCCCCCCATTTTGGGTCTATTCCCCCCTATTTGGGGTCTATTCCCCCCCCTATTTTAGGTCTATTCTTCCCATTTTGGGCGTGTCCCCCCCATTTTGGCTCTATTTCCCCTATTTTGGGTCTATTTCCCCCTATTTTAGGTCTATTCCCCCTTTTTTGCGTCTATTTCCCCCCATTTTAGGTCCATTCCCCCCTATTTTGGGTCTATTTCCCCCTATTTTAGGTCTATTCCCGCCCATTTTGGGTCTATTCCCCCCCATTTCAGGTCTATTCCCCCCATTTTGGGTTTATCCCCCCCATTTTATGCCTATTCCCCCCCATTTTAGGTCAATTCCCCCCTATTTGGGGTCTATTCCCCCCTATTTTAGGTCAATTTCCCCCCCTTTTGGGTCTATTCCCCCCCATTTTGGGGGTGTCCGCCCCATTTTGGGTCTATTCCCCCCCATTTATGTCAATTTCCCCCTATTTTAGGTCATTTCCCCCCCATTTTGGGGTCTATTCCCCCCCTATTTAGGGTCTATTCCCCCCATTTAGGGTCTATTCCCCCCCATTTAGGGTCTATTCCCCCCTATTTAGGGTCAATTCCCCCCTATTTAGGGTCTATTCCCCCCATTTAGGGTCTATTCCCCCCCTATTTAGGGTCTATTCCCCCCATTTAGGGTCTATTCCCCCCTATTTAGGGTCAATTCCCCCCTATTTAGGGTCAATTCCCCCCATTTAGGGGGTGTCCCCCCCATTAACCCCCTGTCCCCCCCAGGCCGCGCTGCGCCGCGCCAGCGCCATCCTGCGCAGCCAGAAGCCGGTGGTGCTGAAGAAGAAGAGGGTCCGGGCGGCGAAGGCTCCGTGAACCCCCCCTGTGCCCCCCATTGCGCCCCCCAAATAAAGGGGTCCCAACAGCGCCCCCCCGAGTCCGGCTGCGTTTATTGGGGGGGGTCCATGTGGGGCAGGGGGGGTGCAAAGTGAGGGGGGGGGGTTACATGGTCCAAATCCCCCCCCCTTCATCACCATCATCATCATCATCACCCCCCCCCCCCAGCATCCCAATAGCCCCTCTATGGGGGATGCTCCATGGGAAGGGCCTCCCCCCCCCCCCCTTCCCCCTTGGTTTTGGGGGGTCCCCCCCCGGGTTTTGGGGTCCCCCCCTATTTCTTGGGCTCGTATTGGATGAGGCGCATGATGTCATCGTTGTCCATCACCCCATCGATGAACTCCCCCTCGGCGATCTTGTCTGGGGGGGCAGAGACAACAATGGGGGTCAATGGGGGGGGCAGAGACAACAATGGGGGTCAATGGGGGGGGCACAACATGGGGGTCAATGGGCAGAGACATCAATGGGGATCAATGGGGGGGCAGAGACATCAAGGGGGGTCAATGGGGGGGGCAGAGACGTCAATGGGGGGGCAGAGACATCAATGGGGGAGCAGAGACGTCAATGGGGGGGCAGAGACGTCAATGGGGGGGCAGAGATAATGGGGGGCACAACATGGGGGTCAGTGGGGGGGCAGAGATGTTAATGGGGGAGCACAACATGGGGGTCAGTGGGGGGGCAGAGACAACAATAGGGGGGGCAGAACCATGGGGGTCAATGGGGGGGGGGCAGAGACATCAATGGGGATCAATGGGGGGGGCAGAGACATCAATGGGGGGGCGCAGAGACATCAATGGGGGTCAATGGGGGGTGGCAGAACCATGGGGGGCAGAGAAGTCAAATGGTGGGGGGAGAACCATGGGGGTCAATGGGGGGGGGGCAGAGACATCAATGGGGGGGGGCAGAACCATGGGGGTCAATGGGGGGGCAGAGATAGAGGGGGGGCACAACATGGGGGGGCGGCAGAACCATGGGGGCAATGGGGGCAGAGATGGGGGACAAAACCATGGGGGTCAATGGCACAATATGGGGGGGGGCAGAACCATGGGGGGGGCACAACATGGGGGTCAATGGGGGGCCAGAACATGGGGGGGGGGGCACAACAAAGGGGGGGCAGAACATGGGGCAGAACCATGGGGGTCAATGGGGGGGGGGGGTCAGTGGGGCTTTGGGGGGGTGCAGTTGGCATTGAGGGGGGGGGTGCGAGTATTTGGGGGGGTTTCAGGGGGTTTGGGGGTCATTTTGGGGCGGTTTGGGGTGATTTGGGGGCAGTTTTGGGGTCTTTAGGGCTGATTTGGGGTGTTTTGGACTCCTGGGCTGTGCTCGGGCGATTTGTGGCTGGTTTGGGGGCTGTTTTGGGGCTGTTTTGGGTTGTTTTGGGATGGTTTTGGGCTGTTTTGGGTGGTATTGGGCTGTTTTAGGTGATTTTGGGGCAGTTTGGGGTGATTTGGGGGCTGTTTTGGGTGGGTTTGGGGCTGGTGTGGGGCAGTTTTGGGGATGTTTTGGTCTATTTTGGGGGGCTATTTGGGGTGGTTTTGGGGCAGTTTTGGGTGATTTGGGCTGGTTTTGGGCTATTTTGCGTGGTTTTGGGGTAGTATTGGGTGATTTTGGGGCGATTTTGGGAAGTTTTGAGTGGTTTTGGGGTGTTTGGGGCAGTTTTGGGGGGCTATTTAGGTTGTTTTGGGGCAGTTTTGGGTGTTTTGGGCCTGTTTTTGGGTGTTTTCGGATGGTTTTGGGCTGATTTTGGCTGTTTCAGGTGATTTTGGGGGCAGTTTTGGGTGGTTTGGGAGCTGTTTTGGGTAGTTTTGGGGTGTTTGGGGCAGTTTTGGGTGTTTGGGGGCTGTTTTGGGCTGTTTTGGGATGGTTTTGGGTTGTTTTGGGTGGTATTGGGCTGTTTTAGGTGATTTTGGGGCAGTTTGGGGTGATTTTGGGGCAGTTTGGGGTGATTTGGGGGCAGTTTTGAGTGGTTTGGGGGCTGTTTTAGGTAGCTTTGGGGTGTTGGGCAGTTTTGGGGGGCTATTTGGGGTGGTTTTGGGGCAGTTTTGGGTGATTTGGGGTGGTTTTGGGCTGTTTTGGGTGGTTTTGGGGTAGTATTGGGTGATTTTGGGGTGATTTTGGGAAGTTTTGAGTGGTTTTGGGGGGGTTGGGGCAGTTTTGGGGGGCTATTCTGGTTGTTTTGGGGCAGTTTTGGGTGTTTTGGGGTGTTTTCGGATGGTTTTGGGCTGATTTTGGCTGTTTCAGGTGATTTTGGGGTGATTTGGGGGCAGTTTTGGGTGGTTTGGTGGCTGTTTTGGGATGGTTTGGGGCTGTTTTGGATGGTATTGGGCTGTTTTAGGTGATTTTGGGGCATTTTGGGGTGATTTGGGGGCTGTTTTGGGTGGGTTTGGGGCCTGTTTGGGGCAGTTTTGGGGCAGTTTTGGTCTGTTTTGGGCAGTTCTGGGTGTTTTGGGGGGCTATTTGGGGTGGTTTGGGGATGTTTTGGATGATTTGGGGGGAAGTTTTGAGTGCTTTTGGGGTGTTTGGGGCAGTCTTGGGGATGTTTTGATCTGTTTGGGGCAGTTTTGGGGGGCTATTTTGGTTGTTTTGGGGCAGTTTTGGTTGTTTTGGGGCAGTTTTGGTTGATTTTGTGCTGTTTTAGGTGATTTTGGGGCAGTTTGGGGTGATTTGGGAGCAGTTTTGGGTGTTTTGGGGGTGTTTCGGGATGTTTTCTGATGGTTTTGGGCTGTTTTGGGTGGTATTGGGCTGTTTTAGGTGATTTTGGGGCAGTTGTGAGTTGTTTTGGGGGCTGGTTTTTGTGTTTGGGGCAGTTTCAGCATGTTTTGGGGGCAGTTTCAGGTGTTTTGGGGCAGTTTCAGGTGGTTTTGGGTGTTTTGGGTCAGTTTTGGGTGGTTTTGGGTCAGTTTCAGGTGGTTTTGGGTCAGTTTTGGGTCAGTTTCAGGTGTTTTTGCGTGTTTTGGGTCAGTTTTGGGTGGTTTGGGGTCAGTTTTGGGTCAGTTTCAGGTGGTTTTGGGTGTTTTGGGTCAGTTTCAGGTGGTTTTGGGTCAGTTTTGGATGGTTTTGGGTCAGTTTCAGGTGTTTTTTGGTGTTTTGGGTCAGTTTTGGGTGGTTTTGGGTCAGTTTCAGGTGTTTTGGGGTGTTTTGGGTCAGTTTCAGGTGTTTTGGGTCAGTTTCAGGTAGTTTTGTATGGTTTTGGGTCAGTTTCAGGTGTTTTTGGGTGTTTTGGGTCAGTTTTGGGTGGTTTTGGGTCAGTTTCAGGTGTTTTTGGGTGTTTTGGGTCAGTTTCAGGTGTTTTGGGGTCAGTTTCAGGTGTTTTTGGGTGTTTTGGGTCAATTTCAGGTGGTTTTGGGTCAGTTTCAGGTGGTTTTGGGTAGTTTTGGGTCAATTTCAGGTGGTTTTGGGTCAGTTTCAGGTGGTTTCAGGTGGTTTTGGGTCAGTTTCAGGTGGTTTTGGGTGGTTTTGGGTCAGTTTCAGGTGTTTTTGGGTGTTTTTGGGTCAGTTTCAGGTGTTTTTGGGTCAGTTTCAGGTGGTTTTGGGTGGTTTTGCGTGGTTTTGGGTCAGTTTCAGGTCTTTTTGGGTCAGTTTCAGGTGTTTTGGGGTGTTTTGGGTCCGTTTCAGGTGTTTTTGGGTGGTTTTGGGTCAGTTTCAGGTGGTTTTTTGGTGTTTTGGGTCAGTTTCGGGTGTTTTGGGTCAGTATCAGGTGGTTTTGGGTCAGTTTCAGGTGTTTTGGGTGTTTTTGTGTGTTTTGGGGCAGTTTGTTGTCAATTTTGGGTGGTTTTTGATTCAGTTTTGGGTCATTTTCAGGTGTTTTGGGTCAGTTTCAGGTGTTTTTGGGTGTTTTGGGTCAGTTTCAGGTGGTTTTGGGTCAGTTTCAGGTGTTTTGGGTGTTTTTGTGTGTTTTGGGGCAGTTTGTTGTCAATTTTGGGTGGTTTTTGATTCAGTTTTGGGTCAATTTCAGGTGGTTTTGGGTCAGTTGTGGGTCAATTTTGGGTGGTTTTGGGGCAGTTTCAGGTGGTTTGGGGTCAGTTTCAGGTGGTTTTGGGTCATTTTCAGGTGGTTTTGGGTCAGTTTCAGGTGTTTTTGGGTGGTTTTGGGTCAGTTTCAGGTGGTTTTGGGTGTTTTGGGTCAGTTTCAGGTGTTTTTGGGTGGTTTTGGGTCAGTTTCAGGTGTTTTTGGGTGTTTCGGGGCCAGTTTTGGGTCAGTTTTGGGTGGTTTTGGGTCAGTTTCAGGTGGTTTTGGGTCAGTTTCAGGTGTTTTTGGGTCAGTTTTGGGCCAGGTTTGGGTGGTTTTGGGTCAGTTTCAGGTGGTTTGGGGTCAGTTTTGGGTCAGTTTCAGTTGTTTTGGGTGTTTTTGGGTGTTTCGGGGCCGGTTTTGGGGCCGGTTTGGGGTTTTTAGGGGCCGGTACCGTTGTCGCCCTTCTTGAAGTAGGCCCAGAGTTTGTCCGCCCGTTTCTGGGGGCTGTTCTCATCCTCGGGCAGCGACTTCTGCTCCTCGGGGGGGATGAGCTTGAAAACGGCCTGGGGGGGCAGAGAGACCCATAGGGACCATAGAGACCCATAGGGACCCATAGGGAACATAGAGACCCATAGGGACCATAGAGACCCATAGGGACCCATAGGGACCCATAGGGACCATAGGGACCCATAGAGACCCATAGGGACCATAGAGACCCATAGGGACCATAGAGACCCATAGGGACCCATAGAGACACATAGGGATCATAGAGACCCATAGGGAGCCATAGGGATCATAGAGACCCATAGGGACCCATAGGGATCATAGAGACCCATAGGGACCCATAGGGATCATAGAGACCCATAGGGACCCATAGGGACCATAGGGACCCATAGAGACACATAGAGACACATAGAGACACATAGAGCCCCCATGTGCTCCCCCCCCCCCCCCCCCCAAGCTCTGGGTCCTTTAATTAACTCCGGGGGGGGGGGATTTAATCCCCCCTCCCCCCCCAAAGCCGCTTTAACCCCGCCCCCCCCCCCAGGAGCTTTTTCCATCAGGCTTAAGGGGATTTAACC